TTCTTCCAGCTTGGTGTCATTTGCAAACTTGCTGAGAGTGCACTTCATCCCATCTTCCAGGTCACTGTTGAAGATGTTGAACAAAACTAGCCCCAGAACTGACCCCTGGGGTACTGCACTTGATACCTGCTGCCAGCTAGACATTGAGCTATAGATTGCTACTACCTGTTAAGCCTAATGATCCAGTCAGTTTTCTGTCCACCTTATAGTCCATTCATCCAACCCATGCTTCCTTAGCTTGCTTGCAAGGATGTTGTGGAAGACTGTATCAAAAACCTTGCTAAAGTCAAGGTATATCATGTCCACTGCACTCCCTGCATCCATAGAGCCAGTCATTTTGGTATAGAAGGCAGTCAGGCATGACTTGCCCTTGGTAAATCCACCAGTTGTTCCCAAAACCCCATCTCCTGTATAGTACACCTATCACCTTCAGAGCCCCACACCTGCTTCTGTTCCAGAGGAGAAACCTCTATAATCTTGGGAATAAATCTAACCACAAAGACAAAAGCTCAGCACATGGGATGCAGTTCACTCTTATGTGTATAAATATTTTGTTATCTTTCTTTATTCCACAGCTTCCTATTGTTGAAAAAATAAGGATCATTGCCCAGAAGGTCTATGGAGCACAGGACATAGAGTTGTCTCCTACAGCACAAACACAAATCGATCGTTACAGCCGACAGGTAAAAAGACATGCTAAACACGTTGGACATGGTTGGCCGTGGCCTTACATCTTACAACTCTGCAAACTGGGTGCATAGAGGGTGTAAAATATTACCAAATCAGCATTTAGCATTTCAGATGTGCTTTGCAACAATGTAAATATCTCCACAGGGTGGAAGGTGCTGAAGAGTTAGCCAAATCTTGGCCTGATATTGCTTAATATTTGAGAGAATGTAATACATTTAGCTTTTCATTGACAGATATCTTATGCACGTGCATTTGATTATGATTTTCCAAGCTGATGTCTGAATCACAACACATGAATCAGCTGTTTTTCACATGATTATTTCTTCTGTCTTCCCATTTGTTATTAAGACATTTGTTACTACTAAGTAGATTGCATGTCATTGGTGCTGTTTGTACCAAGGCTTTTCAGCCTTTTTTATAAGTATCTCTTTAAATCTCCTGAATACAAGTGGCTGTTATATGTTTGTGTACCTTTACTTAATTGTCGTACTGATCACTAAGGAGCTCTTAATCAGTTCGGAAGCTAAGGTGACCAGATCTAGAAATAGAGCCAAATTTTCTAAAAACGAAGTAATGATGTGTTCACATAAATATTCAAGTTCTGCTCAGGGCAGTCACAGAACAGTGCTGTGCAAATGTGGGTATTGGTGCTTGAAAAGGCACATCTCACTGAATAGTTTCCACTGTGGTTTGTATTTGCCCAGTTTTTACATACAAATGATTGTTTATATTTGTAACCCCTCCCTGTGAGTATTGGTGCATATAAAAACAGGAAATCATGTGCCCAACTAAATGTGCAGATTTCCCCTTCATTCACACTATTTTCTATGAGCTATTTGGTTAGTATGACTTTTTATATTTTTGGTGGTTGTTTCTTCTCCTTCAGTTACATTGTTTACATCAGTGTCTCTAGAAAATTTTTGAGTCAGAGAACAATGAGTAGACTTTCTAGAGTGATCACCACATCAGCTATATTTGCCTGCTAATTTGAATTGTATAGTGTCTCTGCTGATTAATTTGGTTAAACCCTAGAAGAGATGGATGCTGTAGTCATGTACTCTTAACAAGAGAACTAGATGTAGAAGTTCAGATATCTTTAAAAAGCAAACCTTTTAATAATGGCCTTGAATATCTATATGGAAAACAAGCTTCTATAATTATTAGCTCTGTTTGAAACCCATGAGCAATATCTTCAAAGGCATTGCTTCATTTTTTAGGCACCTGAGAGTTTGTAGGTTCCTAGGTTTTGACTGGTAAAGTTCTCTAATAAAATCTCTACTTCTACATATGTCCCAAACTGTGCCAGTCTTGTTTTAAAGATAAGCATCTTGTTGGTACTCTCTCATGCTTACATTTGGCTGTTCCCCTGCCTATGTCCCCTGAGGAGCCTGATCTAGTCAGACAGAGCATACCTACAGCTGTGGGCTCTGAACAAAGCACAGCAGCTAGGGTTACTGCTTTCATTCAGAAATGGAGGAAGAGAGAGAGAGATTAGATGCTGGGGTCTACTTTTCAGTGATGTATGGAAAACGCCATGGACTCAAATGAACAGTCCTTGAAATAGAGCCCAAAACGCAGTCTCTCCTTTCCTAGGAAAGTCCCCAAACCACTAGGCTACAGAGTCATGATTACTCTTGCTCACTTTTTCTCTGGTCCAGTGAATCTTGAGTTTTCTAGAGTAGAACAATTCCAGCAGGAGAGATGGAGAATGTTATTAGAGTATGAAGGGTACAAAGCCAATCTTGGATTGGGCCCATAGACCAGCCCTACATACCAGATCTAGTCCACAGGGCCAGTCTAGTGCAGGTACCACATGCAATGTGCCCCAGACCAACCCCATGTGCCACATGCAGCCCCAGCCCAGCATGGCACATGGGGCCATTCTGGGGCACGTGCTGGATGTGGCACACTCCCCAGACAAGCTCCACATACTGCATGCAGCACGCACTGGCTCCAGCCCCCATGCGATGTGCAGCCCGTGCCAGGCACAGTCCACATGCAGTGGATAGGGCCAGGGTCAGTGCATGCTGCATGCAACACATTGGTCCATGAACCAGAGGCAGTACTGCAGGCTGAAGGATAGGACTCTGTGAGCCATATCTTTGAGACCCTTGCCCTAAAAGAGCCTCTATTCTTGCTGTGGTTAGAGCTCAATTGCAGTAGTTATTCTTAAAAAATAGACAAAAACATTCTCTGCATTTATCAGTTGTTAACTTCTAACCTTCCTAAAATTATTTAACACTATTGGGGCATTCTCAGATTATGGAAGATATTGGTGACATAATGAAGTGGAGTTGATTATTGTTTTCTTTATTGTAAACTAGGTAGCATAACCTTAGTAACATTTCTTTCTTCTGGCAGGGATTTGGAAATCTGCCAGTCTGTATGGCAAAAACTCACCTGTCCCTCTCCCACCAGCCTGAAAGGAAAGGCGTTCCAACTGGCTTCATTCTGCCCATCAGTGACGTGCGGGCCAGCATTGGAGCTGGATTTATGTACCCGTTGGTAGGAACGGTGAGTGACATATCAGACCAGAAATTTCTCTCCTTTCTTTAACACGCTGTCTTGGGACGTATTTTTACTTATTGAGAGCAACAGAACTTGTATAGCCAGCTGAGTTTTCATTTGTTATTTCATATAAGTTGTCACAGTTCATGTTTCAAAATTTAATTTTTGGTCTTCTGTGCCTTTTGGCTCCAAACTTAGTAGGACAAAAAGAATCGGGTTAATGTAATAAAACATGTATGCGCGTCAAATGAATTTGAACATGTAATTTATAAAGGTAGCTACATACTAGTGTATGATTATCTGGCATCTTCAAGTAAAACTAAGGGAGTTAGGCACCTAATTGCCACTGAAAATGAGTTTTGCCAGCTTGCTCTAGCTTTATATATAGAACCTGCTGAATTTAGATGAATAGGCTTGAAAATTCACATGAAAAGGCTTTTTCATCGGTCTTCCAGTAGAGCAACAGTGCCCACCATTGGAGTTTTGTGTTTGCAACCCCATAAAAAATGGGGTTGCAAAAACAAGTACAGATTTTCTCCTTTGAAGGAGAAAAAAGTTGGAAAGCCCAGGAGCCCTGAGCCCGCCACAGACAACCTGCATCTTCCCTACTCTTCTCCCCACCAATGGGCTCTAATCCGGCTGTGCTGCCCACAGGGGAAGAGGGTGGGAGAAGCTGAGCTTCATGTTCCACTCCGGCTGGAGCAGCCACCACCTCCCATGAGCTGAAGCTGGGGCTTGGACATTGCTGGTGGGCGGGAGAAGGGGGCTCTGGGCCATAGTCCCACAGCCCTGGTCTCATAGCTCTAGTAGCTGGGGGGCCCCTTCTGGCAGGGCTGGGGGGGTGGGGGCTGTGGGTCTTGGGGGAGGGGCACCAGTAGGGGTGGGGGTGGGGGAGGGGATTATAGGTGGGTAGTGAAGGGCACTGGCAGGGCCAGGGGCCTATGAGTGGAGAGTGAAGGGCACTTGGGAGGGTCGGGAGTGAGGGGGCATGCTCAGAAAATGGGGTCATGCTGAGGAAAAGTTTAGGAAGTACTGCAACAGAGTATTCTTTACTGTATTTAGTTAGCAAAAATGTTCATAGATTTATAGATTCATAGATGTTAGGGTCGGAAGGGACCTCAATAGATCATCAAGTCCCCCTGCATAGGCAGGAAAGAGGGCTGGGTCTAGATGACCCCAGCTAGATGCTTATCTAACCTCCTCTTGAAGACCCCCAAGGAAGGGGAGAGCACCACCTCCCTTGGGAGTCCGTTCCAGACCTTGGCCACTCTAACTGTGAAGAAGTTCTTCCTAATGTCCAGTCTAAATTGGCTCTCTGCTAGCTTGTGACCATTATTTCTTGTAACCCCCGGGGGCGCCTTGGCGAATAAAAACTCACCAATTCCCTTCTGTGCCCCCATGATGAACTTATAGGCAGCCACAAGGTCGCCTCTCAACCTTCTCTTGCGGAGGCTGAAAAGGTCCAGTTTCTCTGTTAGCAGAAGTTAGCAAAAGTGTATCATTAGATTGAGGTATATCTGACTGTCTCTTCTTGCTTCACAAAAAAAAAAGAGAGAGAGAGAAAATGGGAAGGGAGTGGATTTCTAACTATGGAAATAATAGCAATCTGCTTTCTCATATGGGAATGTAAAAGTGTATGGTTCTAAAAAGTATTCCTCACTGCATTTGGAGGAGTAACTTTTGCATCTGATAATTGTAGGAGCTCTCTTCCTATGCATTCCTTAAGAGTAAAGGATACAAGTACAAAGCTTATAACACGTTCTTCTCACTTCCTGTACAGCATGCTTTTGATATATGGTTGATGAATTCTGCCAGCCATGTATCTTGTTTCTGAACAACAATTGGACAGCTTCTGACATCTCAGGGCATGAGTTATTACTAGTCATGTAGCTGATTCATGGAAAATGGACAAAAGTGATTGCATTTCCGGAAGACAACACTCTTTTGGTGTTATCTCATTTTCCCAGAGCCCAGCCTGATTTCCTTACATGGCAGGCCACTGGGGAATGGCTAAGAGATGTGTAACTTGTTTTAAATTCCCTCTGTAACAATTAAGTGTTAGAAAAAAGGAAGGAAGTAGTTTCTGACCAGGAATGTTCCTGGAATTCAAGAAACTGTGTCACTGGGGCTTGCCTTTGGGGGTCTGCTTTCTATGTATATGACCACAGTAAGTGCCTCCACCAGTTGTGCATTACAGTGGCTGCTTGGAATTTAAAAAGGAAGAGATCACAGTGTCCAACTGGGAAATGAAGATGCTTGATATTCTAATTACTGGGAGTAGAATGATCTAAGTGAAGGTTCTCTTCTCTGAGTGTGCCATATTCAACCTTGAACTGTATACACCCAAAAGCTGGGGCAGGAAGGAAAGGAAAGGTTCACCTTTAGGTCCGTTGGAGATGCAGCTCTTTAGATTGCTGGAGAGATGGATTTTCTGGGGTTGATTTTAGTAACAAGTGATGTATTGGTGATTTAGCACATACTAACCATAACTCCACCACATAAATCTATATCCTATGCAGACTCTCATCAGTACTGGAAGTAGTGATGGGCACAGGACCAGTGGTAGCCAGAAAAAGGGCTCATATGTGCCTTTTTCGGTAATTACTCAGTTGGGGTAACTGCCAGTTTCTAACCTGAAAACAAAATTTGGGTTGTTAGGTGGACACATTTACGTAAGCGGTTTCTCCCATTAGAGGAGATATTGAAAAGTACCTATGAATGTGGAACCCTATCTTTACTGGGAATTAGTCTTCCATGCAGCTCTGTTTCATATCAAGAACCAAATGACATCCTGTGGATTACATGCAAAATTAGTGTATGTACTTTTTATTATTCTGTATCTAGTAGATTATAGAGACTGTATTGTGCTAGGAACTGTATAAACAGAGAGTCCAAGGGTTTACCATCTTAAAGGGATGGACACTGGGTTCTGTTTGGCTAAAAGAATCGCATTGGCTAAATAGGTTCATAGGTCTGGGAAGAACTTCCTTAGGTCAGGGCTGTCCAGCTGGCATATCTGGCCCACAAGAGGCCAATCTACAGTCCCCAGGCTCCTACCTGGCCACCACTCTGCCTCTTGTTCTGGCTGCAGCAGAAACCAGGGACTCTGAGCTTCCCGCTTCTAGCTCCTGCTTCCTGTGCCTGCCCCAAGGGGCTGTATGGCACTCAGGAGTCCATGGCTGATAGGTTGCGGGAAGCTGCCCGGGTGCCTGGTGGAGCGGTGGGGGAAGGGCTAAGGAGGCCTTATTTGTACTGTGCAACAGTGGTGCAGGGCTGCCAGGGAGAAGGGGGCCTGCATTATTGTCCCCTGTGCAGGCTCCAGCTGCCAGCCACTGAGAAGTTGGACATCTCTCCTGTAAGTCATTGAATCAAAGCCGTCTTATACTTCATAAGCTTGTCAAGCCCCATCTTAAAATAATTGGTTTATTGCTCAATGGTTTTTCTTCCTTTTTTTTTTTTTGCTGGGATTTAGGAAAGCAATTATTTTTTAAACTATAATATGTTGCTAACCATTTTGTCTAGTATTGCTTACATTGTTTCATAAGCTTTTGACATCTCATAATAGTGTTGTCTGCTCCCTTTAAAGAATTGTTGATGCTTGTGAGCTTGCGAAGCAAAATGTTATCCACATGACAGAATCCAAATGGTGATGTTAGCCTCTGGACAAGTCATGTTCCTTTTGTAATTCTTAGTTTACAAAACTAGGAATGAATATATGAAATAAAGTGAAACTATAAAACTGTTATGTTGAAAATAACTGAAACTGATTAAAATAAATGTATATTTAAGAGTCTAAAATGTGCTGTGGAGATTTTATATTGCTAGTATCGATTGGAGCCCTGGATCAGATTTCTAAAAACACGAGTGTAATGTTAGCACTGGTCCATATTACACAGCTAAAGATTATGAATGTCATTAAACAACTTTTATAATAAGAAGTGTAACATTAGTTTTGAATGCACTCTTCTATTTTGCCTCAGCCAGATGTTCTGCACTCTGAATGTACTTTGCTGTCTAGCAAATTTGTCCGTTTCATTGATTAAACTGTGAGAGTTGTGGGTATTATTAAATTGTGCAAGTGAGACTATTTTTTAAACAAAAATATATTCCAGAGTCACTGAATTTGCATCTGATCGTTTTCTTTGTGAGCTCTTTGAAAACATTGTCTGACTAAAAATACATAGGGAATGAGAAAAAATTGAAGTAGACAAATGTTGCGGACTTCTGTCACTATCTTCAAAGTAACTAGTAATGAAATGCTATAACAGTGGCTACTATAGAAATTCTTAAGATTAGTACTTGGGGAAAGCATCCCATATTTATACCAGATCAAAGTAGCTTATAGACAAGAACTGCATCATAGAGAATTTTTTTCTTTTGTTCTTTATTGGATTAATTAGTGAGGGGATATGGAGCCTTTAAACTACATAGCGCCTGAGGCCACACACAGTATTGCACAATACATGATATGATACAGCACATTTACTGAAACTGCAGTAATAATTTTAATTCTAATTGAGTGTCGAACATCAAATTCTAATCTCAAAATGTGGTACTCCATTTATATGAGCCTGTTTACTAGTATTTGTTAATTGTTTTAATGCAAAAAGCATTTATAATTGGTTTAATTGTCACAGCTCAGTGCTCTTTAAGAAGAACAGACTTAATATGGAAGACCTTTCTTGGAAAGAAAAGTACTGTATGTATTTGAATCTAAAATGAGGGTTTTTTCCCCCCATGGTGGGGCAGGGGGACATCATCTTATATTTAATACTAGCCCAGGGCAGGTGGTTGCTCCAGCCCCAACCCAGACCTGGGGCCAGTTGCCTCCTGCCCCAGGCCAGGGCCAGGGTTAGAGCTGTCATTGCAGCTGTAGCTGAGCAGGACTGCACTTGTTCAAGATGGCTCATGCAGTGGGGCAGTGCTGAGGAGATTACACCCCCACTGCTGCCTGCCCCAGGCCAGGGCTGCCACTGATGCCTGTCTGTGGCTGGGGCCAGTGCTAC